ATTTTCAGTCCAAGGAGTAGAAACCTCCCCTGGCCAAAGGCGGAGCCTCCTGTTAGATCCAAACGCCAAATTAAAAATCTATAAAAATACCAAAATAAAACCCTTAAAAGTACAAAAGAAGAATTTATATTCAGTTAAATGTTATCTTGTTTTAAAATTTCCGCTCAGCTGGTCCTTGTTTTTAATGTCGGTGCATAAACTGCTTTTATTTTGAGGAAAACGGCTCCAAACTGGGATGTAATGGTATCGGACCAGTATGAGACCCAGCCTCGTGAGACCATCCTGATCTTGCGAGCTTTCAAGGTTTCACTCGCAGATCAGTCTGGAGACTCTCCGTTAAAGAAAATTTGGAGCCGTTCACCAAACGAACGTCCAATCAGCGTTGGCTTTGAGGCGGGTTGAGGTGTGACGCAACGAAAAGCGCGACAGTTCAGTCTAAAGAACATGGCGGCTTCAGCCGATGAAACTAGCATTAGCGTGGCTATCGAGCAAGTTATATCGGAATTACAGAGTATTTCTTCACTGAAAGAAGAGCAAAACACTGCTCTGGAGGCTTTTCTCAGAGGAAAATATGTTTTTGCTCTTCTCCCGACTGGTTTCGCCAAGAGTTTGATCTATCAATCGGCTCCTCTTCGTCGTCGCTCTGTTAGTACGTCATATGCTTCGTTGATCTGATTGGTTTATTTGGCCCGTCTATCACCAACATAGGCCAATCAGCTAACCAGCATTTTCCCCCCTTCCCAAAATTACTTCAACAGAAGGTTTTATGAGACCATGACACAATCCCAAACCCACCCCTAAACACTAACCCTCCCTTCCTGTGGAGGCAGTGTTGTCACCAGGGGGTGGCCACCTCATTGACCCCCCCACTGGCCAGTGTAAATTGCAGTTTCCCTAACCCTGAGTAGGTGTTTACGTAAGTCTTTCTACTTTAAGGATTTCTACTGGTAGATTTACCACAATATTAGATCCAAACCCTGAAATTATGGTCTGGATGTTCTGGGAGCTCTGGGAGGCTTTGGGTCAGACCAGTGATGCTTTCTGGTTCTCAGGCAGGAATCCGATCTGGTTGTCAAACTGAACCAGTTTTTACTGGTTTAGCCAGTGATTCCATGTCACATGTCCACATACGGAAAGCATGGTTTGGAGAATATGCAGTCATCCAGGTCAGAGTCACTCTAAAAAAAGTTAAAATCAATCCTCTGGACTTTGTTTCCAAGTTTGAAGACGTTTCGCTTCCCATCCAGGAAGATTTTTCATTTCAAAATGTCAGAAATAGTGTTTTAGCAGCTCAACAAAGCCTAGCTTTGGTTTAGAAACATGCAAATTGAACCTGAAAAATGGGTCCATCTCTTTGGAATGGGGGTCGTTTGGCTTCTTTGTTAGTCTGCAATGCCCCATACCTGTCTATGTCTCTAAAGGGGGGGTCGTTAGAGGGAATTGTTGGCCTGGCTAAATAGGTGAGGTCTTTTTCCCCCCTTACTTAGAACCATTTTTGTAAGTAAGGTGGAACGAACGCTGCCCAGATCAGAACTGGGCTGATTACCGCGCAATAAGGACCGTACGATGAACTGTTCTCTCTTTGCAAAGATAAAATAAAGCGCCGACTGAGTGAAATCCATTGATCTCTATTTATTTAACTAGGGTGAATACTGCTGAACACTTCCTAAAACTTTATCTTTTTATCTCTGTAATGGTAAAGAACCTTTAAAGGTTTAAAGTCTGATCCGTTGGTTATTTCTGACATTTTAAATTTAAGAATCTTCCTGGATGGGAAGAGAAACGTCTTCAAACTTGGAAACAGAGTCTTTTTTTACTTTTTTGGAAGAGTTTGGAGAATGTTTCTGTTTGAGATCATGAGTAATGCAGGAAAAACTACTTGAAGGTAGAAATAAAAACTTTCAAACCAGCTTTCATTTGTTGCAGCTGCAGAAAACATGAAAGAAAAACGATGAACTTCAGCTTAAAAAATCCAAACGATAATTTTCCAGGTTAGAAATCAGAAAATGCTTCAGTTCTTGGTTTTTTTTAAATGTTTCTAATTGCTTTATCTGCAGACTTTAGAGCAGAAGGCTTTGAAAGGAGAAACTTTAAAGATGCTCCTCCTTATCTCTACTTAGAGAGTCTTCATTTCCCTCCCAGCTTTGAAGATCAAGTCGTATTGTTCTAACCATTCAGGCCCCAAAGCCTCCCTGAATGGCGGCGTGGAAAGGTCAACAGCCAAATAAACTTTGATGACATGCAGCCAGGACCCCCACCTCCTTATCCCCCGTCCCCTTTAACCCCTGTAACCCCCCCCCCCGCCGCTCCCCCTGCAGCGGATTGAGCTGTGAGGGGCGGCGCTTGCAGCAGGAGAGCAAACTGCACAACAAGGTTTGCGGTTTGTGAGCAAATCCTCCGACATGTTTGCTCAGCCCTCCAGGATAATCTCCCAGATTCCTGCAGAGTGAAGAGGTGCCAGCGGGCCGCGTGCCAGGCGGGAACCGCACCGAGGTTTCAGGTTCACGCCAAGTTTATGTAAATACAGAAACCACGCTCACGCCACAGACGCTCAGCCCGTTCTGATGATCTGATGAAAAGGAAGATCTAGTCTCAGTTTTAATCGTTTTAATCTGGTTGTTCCAGATCAGATTTATGGGGATTTAAAGCCTGAAGGTGCGAGTTTCTGGTCCAGGAAGTAGAAACCTGCCCTGGCTAAAGGCAGAACCTTCTGCTGGATCCAAAATTAAAAAATCTATAGAAATGCTAAAATAAAACCATTAAAAGTACAAAGAAGAATTTATATTCAGTTACATTTTATCTTGTTTTAAATTTTACGCTTAGCTGGTCCTTGGATGGTCCTTGGATGGTCCTTGGATGGTCCTTGGCTGGTCCTTGGCTGGTCCTTGGATGGTCCTTTCGTCTGTGCTTGGCTGGTCCTTGGCTAGTCCTTGGCTGGTCCTTGGATGGTCCTTGGCTAGTCCTTGGCTGGTCCTTGGATGGTCCTTGGTGGGTTTCTTGGCTGGTCCTTGGCTGGTCCTTGGCTGGTCCTTGGCTGGTCCTTGGATGGTCCTTTCGTCTGTGCTTGGCTGGTCCTTGGCTAGTCCTTGGCTGGTCCTTGGCTGGTCCTTGGCTGGTCCTTGGATGGTCCTTGGTGGGTTTCTTGGCTGGTCCTTGGCTGGTCCTTGGTGGGTGCTTGGCTGGTCCCTGCCTAGTCCTTGGCTGGTCCTTGGCTGGTCCTTGGCTGGTCCTTGGCTGGTCCTTGGTTGGTCCTTGGCTGGTCCTTGGTTGGTCCTTGGCTGGTCCTTGGCTGGTCCTTGTCTGGTCCTTTTGTCGGTCCTTGGCACGTCCTTGGCTGGTCCTTGGCTGGTCCTTGGCTAGTCCTTGACTGGTCCTTGGCTGGTCCTTGGTTGGTCCTTGGCTGGTCCTTTCGTCGGTCCTTGGCACGTCCTTGGCTGGTCCTTGGTGGGTGCTTGGCTGGTCCCTGCCTAGTCCTTGGCTGGTCCTTGGCTGGTCCTTTCGCCGGTCCTTGGCTAGTCCTTGGATGGTCCTTGGCTGGTCCTTGGCTGGTCCCTGCCTAGTCCTTGGTGGGTGCTTGGCTGGTCCCTGCCTAGTCCTTGGCTGGTCCTTGGCTGGTCCTTGGCTGGTCCCTGCCTAGTCCTTGGTGGGTGCTTGGCTGGTCCCTGCCTAGTCCTTGGCTGGTCCTTGGCTGGTCCCTGCCTAGTCCTTGGTGGGTGCTTGGCTGGTCCCTGCCTAGTCCTTGGCTGGTCCTTGGCTGGTCCTTTCGCCGGTCCTTGGCTAGTCCTTGGATGGTCCTTGGCTGGTCCTTGGCTGGTCCTTGGCTGGTCCCTGCCTAGTCCTTGGCTGGTCCCTGCCTAGTCCTTGGCTGGTCCTTGGCTGGTCCTTTCGCCGGTCCTTGGCTAGTCCTTGGATGGTCCTTGGCTGGTCCTTGGTGGGTGCTTGGCTGGTCCCTGCCTAGTCCTTGGCTGGTCCTTGGCTGGTCCTTGGCTAGTCCTTGGCTGGTCCGTGGCTGGTCCTTGGCTAGTCCTTGGCTAGTCCTTGGATGGTCCTTGGCTGGACTTTGGCTGGTCCTTGGCTAGTCCTTGGCTAGTCCTTGGCTGGTCCCTGCCTAGTCCTTGGCTGGTCCTTGGCTGGTCCTTGGCTAGTCCTTGGCTAGTCCTTGGATGGTCCTTGGCTGGACTTTGGCTGGTCATTGGATGGTCTTTGGCTGTTTTTAATAAACTGCCTTTACTGTGAGGCAAATGGCTCCAAACTGGGATGTAATGGTAATAGACCAGTATGAAACCCTAACCAGTCCTAAACACTAAAGTCTGGTTTATGCTCAGAAACCAGGTGGTCTGCACCCCCCTCCCCCCGCCTCCTTCTTGTAGATGATTTCACACCTTTGTCTTTACCGCTACTTCTAGCTGCAGCTCTTTTAAAGCATTTTACCGCCCCCTAAAGGACTGGAGGGAGAAATTTAGCGTCTTACTATTAAATATAGCATGATAAGAATCTGCACCTCTGCGATTTGAAAATTGCATTTTGGTAAACAGCAATCATATTTCAAATGTAATTATTGCCCAGTCCTAGGTGTCACTGTGTGGCTATAGATAGGACTACTGTCCTTTATTCTCGTTTACACCCCCACCTTCAATCAATGCGCCTTCCACAGCTGCCAGTGGGACTTTATTGGGAGTGACACTTGATGGTTAAAGGGTTAGTCGTTAGGGTTAGTTCTGCTGAATCGTCGACCATGATCCCCCCACAGCGCCCCCTCTGGCCACCTTAGCTGCACGTCTTTTCTGCCGTTAGGCAGGCGGCGTTTTTACAGTGTTTCACAGCAGGAAATATTTACACATAATTCACTTCTTCTGTGTTTAGTTGACGTCTGTTAGCCAGCGGTTTACAGCAATAGGTCGGGGAGGGGCAGCCCGTTACTCTATGCTCCAGAGAAACAGAATTTTATGTCCTCCTCAGAGCGCTCGGCTTTAACGGCCTATCTTCTTCTCCTCTCACAGCGCCGAACCGGCCATGGAGACCCCGTCACCGAGAGCTACGGAGAAGAAGGACAAAATGGACGGCAGCAGCTTCAGCGACGTCCCAAAGAAGGCCTCGCCCTCCGAAACCAGAGGTAACCTGATGTTTAAAAGTTTCTGCAGACCCCCGGACGGACGCTTCGGGTCCGTCCGGGGGTCTGCCCGCTGTGACCTGTTTGACAATGAGTCCAGGTCTCACAGGTGCTCAGTCAGGGGGCAAAAGGGGGAGGGACTATGAAATATACATGTCAAAGAAGGTGTGCCGTCCAGGGAGCCAGGTCCCAGCTCTCCTCGGGCCTGATGAGAGACCCTCAGCAGTCAGAGGTGACTCACCGTAGGCGTCTGCCAGGAATCCTAATGGAGCCGGAGCCATGAAAGAATCATGAATGCAGATGGAACCAGTGCGAAGGCTGGGCGTCGTTCCGGTGCCGTTCGAGCGCCTAAACGGCGTGCAGCAGAAAACACGGCGTGACAGCAGAGCAGGGGGGTCGGAGCAGGTGAGGTTTGGTGTTGTTGAACTAAATGCAGAGTAGCAGTGATCCTCACTGGCTGGCAGGAAGAGAGAATACATGTTTAAAAGATGTCCGCCAGCGTGTGATGAAAGCCGGGCATAATGAGGCTGAAAGACCTTGTTCTTACCTCCAGAGTATAGAGAAGAAAAAGCAGGGAAAGCGTCTGGGGTCTGATGGAGCCGAGGACGACACGGCGCTTCAAAAACCCACAGAGATGCAAGCTGATGGGCCTCTTTGACATGCAAATTAAACGTGTGATTTAGTGACATTTTTACTCATTCATGGAGGACTTGGTGGCCTGCCATTACAAAGAAACGCTCATTAATTGGTAAAGAGGAGACGGCCTCGTTCCAAAGGAGCAGCAGAGTTTGCAAAAAAACTCACAGGCGTCAACTTTTAGCTTGTAGGAGAAGATTTCTGACCAAAACTAACCGTTTTATCGCTTCTTACCCAGAAATGTCTCCAAGAAAGTCAAAGAAATAACATATAAATACCAGAGGAAGCTTTCATGTGACCGTTGCCGTTATGGAGAGAGCAGAGCTGTAGGAAAGTCTGATCAGAACTTCCACCGTCCGCTTCCTGGTCTTTGGCTCCAGGCAACCAACGTTTGCAGATGATCTGAAGCTCTGCAGCAATACAACAGGAATCACTCAGAGCGGCCTAATCAAAGTCTGTCAGGGGTTTTAAACCCCAAAAAAGTCCAAATGGACCCGGTTCGACCCGAGTGGACCAAAATGGATCAGAATGGACCAAGATAGACCAATTTGGACCAAGATGGAGCAAATTGGACCAAAATGTACCAGGTTGGACCAAGATAGACCAGATTGGACCAAAATGGACCAGGTTGGACCGAGATGGAGTAGGTTGGACCAAGATGGAGCAAATTGGACCAAAATAGACCAGATTGGACCAAAATGGACCAGGTTGGACCGAGATGGAGCAAATTGGTCCAAAATAGACCAGGTTGGACCAACATGGACCAGCTTGGACCAAGATAGACCAGATTGGACCAAAATGGACCAGGTTGGACCAAAATGGACCAGGTTGGACCGAGATGGAGCAAATTGGACCAATATGGACCAGGTTGGACCAATATGGACACTGGCAGATTGTTTGGAAGTTTATCCCCCATTTAACATCTAAATAAACTCATCCTGTGTGTTTAATCTGTTGATCTTTGGTCTGAGTGTTGGAGATGAAACATCTGAGCCTGATTCTGAAGACAAACACGTCTACTGGGTTTTTTTTTGGTTGAACAGCTTTATGTTTCCTCACTTTCAGCTCGAAGCTGCAGAGTTTTCCTTTGCTCAGTCAGAAGGCGTTTGATCTGGAGGGAACGGTTCCCTTCACTTGGTTCTGCTGTGGTTCTGATGGACCGCTCCTATCGTTCATTTCACTGGAGGCAAAGGAAAAGCGACTATAGTTAGAACCACGATGCGACCACAATCCAATTATGATGCAGACAAGATAACAGATTATTTATTTTATTAAAAGCCTCAAATATCATTTCCTTCAATATTTAGATTTACTAAACAATGATTTATAGTTTCAGATGCTAAGATGCTACATTTTTATTTCTTTCAATCAGCCATTTCAGCTAAACCTGTTACTTCATGTCATTTAGAAACTATAACTAGAATAGAATTCAACTTTATTGTCATTCCACTGTCACAAGTACAGAGCAATGAAATGAATTCTCTGCAGCGCCGGGGAGCAGTGTGGGGTTAAGGGTCTTGCTCAGGGACCCAGAGTGGCAGTCTGTGGGAGTGGGGGATCAAACTCACAACCTCAGGATTCAAAGCCCTATGCCCTACGCTAGGCCGCCACTTCTAGCAACTAAATGCATGAGAAGAGATTTATGATGGAAAACTACAAAAGAATGAAATAGATGCTTGGCTTTTATGGAATGAAAAAAATAAAGATTTGGGTTTTTAATCGATCTGGATTCATGAGTCAGACTTTAAATTCCCTGAAAATAAACTCTTTAGTTTGATTTAAATTTTGGCAAAGGTCAAAGGTCAAAAGCAGCTCCTTTTGTTTCGACGATCGCTTTAAAAAAAAACAGATCTTTCCATCTTTATGTCTCAGGTTGGTCTTGATAACATCCGTATTTCCCAACTTTCTGCTCGTGTCGTTGGAATATAGAGAATTAAAATATGAACAGGATCAATGTTTGATGGAATGGGGTCCGTCAGGATGGACTGAAGGTTCTGTTGTTCTGAAGGGTCCGGTTGTTCTGAAGGTTCTGTTGTTCTGAAGGGTCTGGTTGTTCCCAAGGGTCCGGTTGTTCTGAAGGTTCTGTTGTTCCGAAGGGCCCGGTTGTTCCGAAGGGCCTGGTTGTTCTGAAGGTTCTGTTGTTCCGAAGGGCCCAGTCTTTCCGAAGGGTCAGTTTTTCCGAACGGTCCGTTTGTTCCGAAGGGTCCGTTTGTTCCGAAGGGTCCGTTTGTTCTGGAGGGTTCTATTGTTCTGAAGGGTCCAGTTGTGTCCAAGGGTCCGATTTTTCTCAAGGGTCAGGTTGTTCTGAAGGGTCCGTTTGTTCCAAAGGGTCCGGTTGTTCTGGAGGATTCTGTTGTCCTGAAGGGTCCAGTTGTTTCCAAGGGTCCATATGTTCCCAGGGGCCTGGTTGTTTTGAAGATTCTGTTGTTCCGAAGGGCCCAGTCTTTCCGAAGGGTTCGGTTGTTCGGAAGGGTCCGTTTTTTCTGAAGGGTCTGGTTGTTCTGGAGGATTCTGTTGTCCTGAAGGGTCCAGTTGTTTCGAAGGGTCCAGTTGTTCCGAAGGGCCCGGTTGTTCCGAAGGGTTCGGTTGTTCGGAAGGGTCCGGTCCAGATGTTGGGCCTAGTGTGAGCGTCCCAGCATGGAACTGAGGCTGACAGGCAGGGAGGCCGTTTGTTTCAGAGATGTCAGCGATCCTCTGATGAAAGGCGCCTTTAATGAGGTTAAAAGACCTCGTTCTCACCTCCAGAGTAAAGACGATGGTTCTGACGGAGAGGACGGCGCTGAAGAGTGCTGACACGGATGCAGAGCGACAGGCCACTTTGAAATGCAAATGGCTGCAGCGGTTCTGTGGCAGACCTCCAGTCTAATGAAAGTTGGTGGCCTGCCACGCTGCAGAACCAACGCTAATTGTTCAGAGGAGAACATCAATGTGGGACACGGCTCTGGGTCCGGAGCTGCCACTGCTCCACCTCTTTCCTCGGCCCTCTTCAATATTTGAACAAAGCCGACTCTTCCCGGCTCCTATAATAATTCCCACAGAGCCTCTGCCGCCTGATTGGGTGGACTTTCCAGATGTTCTGGTTAGCCGCTCGCCTCAGAACCATAAGATGTCGGAGGCGATGGAGTCGCGCTGCAGGCGGTTTAAGGACGTTCTGGGGAGGTTCTCCAGAACCAGCTGATTTGGTCTCCAGGAGGACCTGGGTGGTTCTGGTCCCGGTTTTATTTGATGGAACCAAACTTCCTTAAAACTGTTTTTGAGTCAAGTTCTTGCACCATTTTTCTCCCTGAAGCTGATTTTTTATTTACTTTCCCGTTTCATCAATGTTCGACCCTCTGCCTCTGGGTCTGAATCTCCCAGCAGCTAAAACTAAGAGCCTCTCCATAACTCTTCCTCCCTATCGGCACCGACCGCTTTAATCTGAAATAAACAAGCAGCGTCGTTTGGCGGCGGCCGTCCCAGCCAATCAGATAGCGGAGAAGCTTAAAAGCGTGTGCCACGCCGATGAGACAAAGCAATTACTTATCTCCGTAATATGCATTATTATTCCAGTTGCCCGCTCCTGATAAGTCAATCTGCAGCTGAGAGCGAGGCAGACCCAGAAAGGTCCTTGAACCTGAAGGCCTTTTTCCATGGAAAAGTACCCAGTGGTGATATACGGCTGCAGGCCCCGTTTATTGTCTGGCTTTGGTTTACTGTTGGCTGCAGGATTCCCGTCACCTAAGTCATGCCCACCTCTGAGCCCCCGACAGCAGCTGTATAACAGCCCGCCCTGTTTTATATTCCCGTCCGGCTTTATTTATTTAGAACAATTTCCTCTCTATCAAAGGACACGGCTAATGCAGAGTTTTAATATGTTATTTACACATAAAAAAACAAGCTATTTACAGCAGCGTCTGTGTGCAGAAGGAGGGGGAAATGAATGGGCCCCGGTTGCACCTCTCCGATCGGTTATATCACAGTTTAACAATCTGGATTGCTAATAGAACCATTTATCATGGAGCGGTCATTTATTTCACGCGGGCAGCGCGGGGTCCTGTTCCCAGAGGCCTATGGAAATGGGCTGCGCATATAATGAAGCTGGAGTGAGACTTGTTTAAAACACGGATGCGTCGCTCTACGAGTCAATTAGAGGGACTCAGGTGTTCCTGCTGCTCCTATCTGCCGCGTCCTGATCCTCCTCCAACCTCTTTGTTCAGAACCTAATGGTGGCACGCTGCTTTTTGGACGCGGATCGCTGTCATTTAGCAGGAAATCAACCCCAGCAGCAGCTTTTCACCAACTCAAGTCCTCCATCCTCCCCTGACCGAGCTCTGCCGCTCTGCTAATAGATTCAAATGAGCGCTTGTATTTCCTCTGACAGCTCGCAT